TAATAATAATAATAATAATAATAATAATAATAATAATAATAATAATAGCTGTCCTCGGCTTACGACCACAATTGAGGCCAAAAGGTTTTCTTGCTAAGCGAGACATTAAGTGAATTTTGCCTTACTTTGCTTTCCTGCCATCGTTGTAGTTGTTAAATTAGTAACCCTAGGTTGTTAAGCGAATGTAGCTTCCCCGTTGACTTTGCCCATCAAGTGGTCTCCAAAGGGGAATCATGTGACACTGGGACCATCATAAATACAGTATGGTCAGGATCTGAATTTGGATCACGTGACCACGGGGGGGGGGGGGGATTCAGCAGCGGTCGTTAAATGTGGGGGAAAAAAAATGGTCCTCGGTCAGTTCTTTTCAGCGCCTTTGTAACTTTGCTGGCTTAACGAACCGCCGTTAAGTCGAGGGCTTAACCTGTAAGTGAAACACGGGCAGGACATGTTTTGAGGAAAGGGGGGAGAGGACAAGATTACAAGTCTCAGGAACAGAGCCACAAGTTCTTCAACAAGTATATTTTGGTTGGTTGGTTGGTTTTCCCGCGCACAACCAAAGGGGAAAAACAAAAATAAGGAACATTTTGTAAACAAGCTTTGCCGTTCATTTATACATTCAAGATTTAGGCACAACAGAAGTCAGAAGCAGGAGAGAGTGGTCCTTTTAATGCAGAGAGCTGCGTTGCTATGAGCCGGACGTCAATCCAAAGGGAAAGGTCCTTCCCTGGTCACCTGGCCACAGGTGGTTCGGTAGGCAAGGCAAAAGGAGCCAGGGGCGGGCTTCAAAACACGTTAGCAAAGGGGTTCTCTGCCCAGTGGCTGGGTGGGCGTGGCCTGGTCGGCCTCCATGATGTCATTTTTGCCCTTCCCGGACTCCGGAGGCTTTTCCTCCAGACTCTGGGAGGGCAAAAACGGCCTCCGGAGACTCCGGAGGCTCTCTGGGAGCTAGAAATGAACTTCCAGGAGGCCCATTTTTCATCTTCCCCGAGCCTCCACGCGGACCCTGCCCTTACCTGCACCCAAAACAGGCTGTGTGGGGACTCCTGGGAGGGGCCAGCCAGGAGTGGGATTTGGGGGGGGTCCCCAAACTGCCCAGAATCTTAGCTAGGGGCTCTCCGGAACCCCTAGCAGCCCACCCCTGAAAGGGGACTCCTTGAAGCTTGAGTTGCTTGCGTTTAGACCGGTGTTTCTCAATCTTGGCGGCTTTTAAGATGCGTAGACTTCAACTGCCAGAATTCCCCAACCAGCCTGGGCGAATTCTGGGAGTCGAGATCCGCCCACGGTGGTGGTGGGGGGAAGGGAATTCTGGGAGCTGGGAAGTCCCACGCATCATGGAAGTGGCTACGGTCAAGAAACCCCTGGATGACAGACAGACAGACACATAAAGACACGCTCCCTGTAGAAGTTCCATCAGACCCTGTATAAACTAGCTTTGTTTTAAAAAAATAGACCTATTTACATGATCAAGCTGAGCGTTTCGTCCTCTCGCCGAGCGGGACTTGTTCCCGAGGTGTACATCCTGAAATTGTGTCAGATGTTTGGGGGAAAAAATAAAATAAAATACTGAAGCACCAGATAGGACACTGCCAGAGCTCGCTTGGCTGGAGGAGAAGATAAAAGGTTGAGATTTCAAATTTTGAAATCAACGTGGATTGGCCAACAGGTTGCAGGAAGGCGGTGGGTCTAGCCGGTCCTGCTACATAACAGAAGGCGGTAGGACAACTTCTCCAACTGGGCAGACAAAGCCTGTGGCCAAACCCTCACTGAGCGACTTTGGAGAGTTGCATTAAAAAGAAAAAAAAAGATAGTTCACCAATTTCTTCCCAATTCAGCTGTCAGGAAGTGAAATTTACAAGGAGGGAAATCCAGCTTGAAAATATGGAGGAATTTCCTAACAGTGAGAATAATGAACCGGTGGAACGGAAGTTGCTTTCGGAAGTTACGGGTGCTCCCATCCTTGGTGGTTTCCAAGAAGAAATTGGATAGCCATTTGTCCAGGGTTTAAAAATTAAAAACAAAACTTAAAATCAGGGCAACTGGACCAAAGTATAGTTGGTCGTCGACATATTTAAATTTGTCCAGGTTGGTATAAAGATTCTAACAGAATAACAGAGTTGGAAGGGATATATATATATATATATATATATATATATATTAAAAGGCAGTGGTGACGTAGGAAGACTCTAGGATAAGGTTGAAAAAAAAGATTCCAGCTGGAAGGAAAAGCCCATCGCACCCGTGCCAGGAAATATGAGTGAAGTTTTATTTCGTTATTGATTCGACAGGAAATTCCATCACTTTTCAAGGGAAGGGTGCAAACTATTTCCTTTTCCTGGTCTGCGATAATAAAAAGGCGATTTAAAGGCTACTCCGATCTGGTTGTCACACCTAAAACCTTCATTTTGCGTTCCTACCGAGTTGTGGCTCGCCAAGAGAAGGGCACGCAATTTGGTAGTGGGAGCCTACCGGATTAAGGAGGGGGAGGGGGATGGCTTCGGGGCAGCCGGAGACCCCTTAAGAGACAAAATTTTCCAAGGTCTACTTCAGAGGTCTCCAAACTTGGCAACTTTAAGACTTGGGAAATTTTGGGAGTTTGAAGTCCCCAAGTCTTAAAAGTTGCCAAGTTTGGGGACCCCAATCTACTTGGTGGAAGGGACCAAAAACAAAAAACAAAACCCCAAAACCAACAAATGGAAACTGCACGCTTTACAATAAAAAAGTAGAAACGGATTTGATTCCTTTTTTTTTCTTTTTTACGAATATAAAGTTTCTTGTAAATATGTACAGTGTTCGGAGCTATTCTATAGCAGGAAGCATTTTTCACAAACAAGACACGCGATATACACTTTCAAGGACTCGAGAAGCCGAGTGTTCAGGTAATGAGGGATTATCATTATTAAGGAATAGTAGTAGTAGTATTAATCAGTAGGAGGGGTTTTATTTCATTATTTTTTTTCTCCTTTTCCCCATGAGATGCTAAAGACCTTAAAAGAGCTCTTGGGATTTCCAAGAGACGGAAATCCTTGCACGTTTCCTGACAAACCGCCGGAGAATGCAATCGACCTGACCCTGTTTATCCACAACAAGGCCCCCAAACCCGAAGCGGGAAACATCAGAGGGGAGGCCTCTCTGTAGGGCGGCACTGGGAAGTTGGGGTGCCCAAAGGAACCGGCGGAGGCAGGTGGATTTGCTCTGGCCAGCTGGGAGCAAAAAAAAAAAAACAGAGGGCAAAAGCAAACTACGGCTCAAAACGGTGTGTTGGAACTGAGCGGGAGCCAAGAATGAGAAGCGAAGGCGGGGCTGCGGTGGCAGGAAGAAGAGCCACAGTTGGTTTGTCGCCCACATCCTTTCCCCAAAAGCGAGGAGGTGGGGGGGAAATCTCCTCTGGATGGCAAAGAGGGTTCCCCCCTCCTCTTTCTGTGACTTTCCTCGCTCCTTTTGGCCACGGGGTCGGCTTGCCTGCTCTCTCTCTCTCTCTCTTTCCCCCCTGATCCCGGGTTGGGGGAAAGGTAGCGTCTCCTCTGCTGGTCATCTCGTTCGGTGGATGGGCCGGATTCCTGGGCCGGCTTCAGGGGCTTTGCCTCGGTGGGCTCAGTTGCAGCGGTGGTCCTCGAGAACCGTCCCATTTGCTCCTCCTTGGGTGCAAGGTTTCTTCCCCCCCGTCCTCCCCTGCCCTTCCCTGCACACCCTCCTCCCCAGGTCCACAAAGGGATGGTTCTCGGTTGCAGCATCGTCTCGAAGAGAAAAGGCTTCGGTATTTCGAACACGGGAAAGTTACGAGATATACAATATCGAGCAAAGCAACTGAAAAAGAGGCTGCGGTCAAGGTGACGGCGGCGCAGGAAGCATGCAGGGAAGTCGCCATGCAGAAAAGCCTGAGGGGAGGGCGGAGGCCTGGCTCTGTGCATGTGTGTGTGTGTGTGTGTGTGTGTGTGAACGGAGCAGTTGAGACCGCCTCCCCCGGGAGCCTTTGGATGCAGAGGGCGAGAGACCAGTGGGCAGCTTTCATCGACGGTCGAGGCGCATTGGAGGTGGGGAATCGTTCAAAATGGACATTTCTTCCCTGCAACCACAGAGCTGCGCTGACAACTACGTTGTGTGTGTGTGTGTGTTGTGTTAAAATTTGGATTTGGAACGGTCAAAATTCCAAAAATGATAATCCTCATCATCATCATGTTCTGGGAAGCAACGGATTCCCTCCGTCGCCCGCGGTTTCGCTTAGAGCTCTGCAGCGGAAGAGAGGAGGAACACTGGGGAGCAGACAAAAAGACACCGGACCGTTGCTGGTTATACGAGGCTTTTCCCCCAAAATAAACGGACAGCCAAGTTTTGTGTTTTGTTGTTGCTGTTGTTTTTTTTCTTCTTCTTCTCAGTCTTGGGCAAAAGCCCCGTCGCCAATCGGACGATTGACGGGACAGGGGAAAGCGAAATAGAAAAATCGAGGAACTGCTTTGAAAGGAGCAGTAATACAAATTGACCCGTCCCTCCCCCCCTCTTCCCTCCCCCCCCCCTCTTCTCCCCAAGGGACCGGGATAGGGGAGGAAAAGGGGAAAAAAGAAAGAAAAAGGACACCCTCCCCCGAGGTGGGACAGGAAGGCGGAAGGGGGGAAAAAAATTGAGGGTTACTTGGGGAGTTAAAAAGTTAGGGTTACTTGGGGAGGTGGGCGGTGGAGAATGGGTGTTGCACCTAATTCTGGATAGTTTTTGTGTTCTTCCTTGGAGTTCAGGGTCGGAGGGTGGAGGCTTGTGTCGCTTATACTGAAGATTGGTCCCAGACCTGTTGAGGAGAAGGCGGAAAAAAGAAGAAGAAAAAGGGACATTGAATTTTCTCTCCCTCTCCCTCTCTCTCAAATGTTAAGAGCATTTTCGGAAGAATTTTAAACATCACCTTTTCAAGCAGTAAGTCCCCAGCTGACTTTCATGCCTATGGGAGGATTAGAACTCACCGTCTCCTGGTGATTGGCCCAAAGTCCCCCAACCAGCTTTCACGT